GGGGGGGGGGGGGGGGGGGGGGGGGGGGGGGATCGCAGATATGATTTGATGGGTGTGATGAACTTGACACGCTAGTGCTTGCCTGCTGATATCTCACTCTCTGAATAATATAAGGAACCTGAGTCACTCCTTCGTGTGCAAAACGCTCTCGAGAATAGCTCGCGAGCCTGATAACGCAGCACACGCGCCGACACCCTCTACCCACCTCCGTAAGCTCTTCCGACGGTCCCCCGTGCGACTCCATGCCCTCCTTCAGCATCCTACACCCAAAGTACAGGAACAACAGCTGCGGTTCCCGGAGAAAGCACCGCGGTGGTTATTTTTCCGATTTCGAAAAGAGGCAAAAAGGGGAGGGAAGGCGAGGGGCGGGGGCGGAGGGATGTGAAAAACCCCACAGGCAAAATGCAAAAGAGAGAGAGAGAGAGAGAGAAAGAGAGAGAGAGACATACACACGTACATCCACAAACTATGTCGTTTTTCACCTCCCCCTGCCCATTCTCTCGCGCATGCGCACCAAAAAACAGTAGCCTACGCAGGTTTTTACTCAGCGAACATTTTGGATGAAAAATAGAATCTGCGGAATTTCGAAGGTTATAACGTAGGCAGTTCCAAAGCACACACAACACACTGAGGCTGACGTCATTTCATTGGTCAGCCGGTTAGCGCGGTCGATGCTAATAGTAAAAACACACACACACACACGCACACGCACAAGCCTATACAAGAAGTGCACCACCACACGCTGATCTAACATGTCTTGCCAAGCGTACGTACCGCGCTCGCGTAGTGCGTGTAGGTCCTCGAGAGCACTGCCGGCAGCGCGTAGCCTAGCGCGGCGGAGAGCACCGTCATGACGGCCAGCGCACCTATGGCCCCGCCGAAGACGGCGAGGCGGGGGTGGCTCATCGCCATGATCGCCGCTATGAAGAAACTGCGGCAACAGCAGCATGGACAGTAGTAGCAGCATAATCAAGCAGCAGCAGTAGCAGCTGCAGCATCAAGCAGTAGCCGTAGCAGCATCGAGCAGTAGCAGCGGCAGCAGAAGTAGTAGACGCACCAGCAGCAGTCAGGCAGTATCGTACCTACAGCCCCACCATGAAAGGGCCATGAGAAATGTGCCGGTAGGTCTGTTGACACATCATCCAAATCACGTATCGTATGCGTCAACCGCGCGAGGGAATCACGTGTCGCATCATCTATCCCTACACGCAAAGCATCCATTCGTCAAGCCTGCGAGGAAGGAACCACATGTCGGGGTGCGCGTTGTGTTTCATGTCTCAAAAGCTTCGTTTTCTCGGCTGTGAGGACCCCAAGTGGCGTGCGGACCCCAAGGGAACGACCACATTTACACCGCTTGTGCAAGCAGAGTGGGTGTCCAATATAGCTGTGCATACCGTAGTCGTTAGACCATTGACCTCTCATCCCTATAAAGCCGGTGGGGGAGGGTGTGTGTGCTCATGGTCGTGCATGCCCTCGCCGTTAGAACGTTAACCTCGCATCCCTACAAAGCCGGGATTAGGGGAGGGGGAGGGACTGTTACTACTCACGTCTTGTCTCCGATCTCGGTGGCGATGATCATGGCCACGCTGTTGGCGAACGCCGTCCAGAACCCGACTTGACGGGGTTTCCCCTCTCCCGCCGATGCAGCGTTCTCGTTCTACATACGGACGACGACGACGACAACGACGACAGCACCACAGTCAGCACAGCAGTCGGGGCGTTAAAAGCACTATAGTTTAGTGCAATGTAGTGGGTTCCCCCTCTCCCGCCCATCCAGCTTGTTCGTTCTGCAGACTGACGATGACAGAACAATTCGGGCGTTAGAACTGATATTGGTTAATGTGGTGGTAATAGGGGTCCCCCTCTCCCGCCTGTCCAGCTTGTTCGTTTTACAGACGAACGACAAAGTCAAGCACAGCCTTGGCTTTAGCGAACTATTTAGAGTTTGTCATGGGTACTAATAGCAGTGTGAGTAGCTGGTCGTTTCACCTTCCTCCCCGGGCGCTTTGCGCTTGCGCTTGACTATTGAGACCGTGGGGCCGCGACAATCAAAGTAGCAGCAGCAGCGGCAGCTGTGGAGAGGTGTTCATGAGGATGGCTGGATCGTGTTGCGCCGTGAGCATGGCCGCTGGGGTGACAGACGGGCCCTCATACGGCAGTGACCCCCGTTGGGGAGGTCTAGCTGCAGCCGGATCGGATAAATGGCCTACAGACCAAACGTATTTTTTTTTGTGTAGCCTATTTCTCGGATCCGGATGCGCCTGGAAACGGATGTCACTGCGGTATCAGGGCCCGCCCGTCACCCCAAAGGCCACGCTCACGGCGCAACATGATCCAGTCATCCTCGTGGACACCTTTTCTAAGGTGATGCGCCAGTACGGTGGTCACGATTGATTCGCTGGCGGTGATGAAACGTTGGGAACAACGATTTGCGGGCAGTCTCGGTGTGTCCTCTAGATGGTGTGTGTCCTCTCGATGGTGCACTAACCGGGTTCGGGTTCTTAAAACACTGAAATAAGGAGGACTGGTCCATCCGCAAACGCAATGATTTTTCGTGTTGTCAGCAAGCAGGCCAAGAAGAACTTGCGTCGCACTCTTCGATATTCATGAATTCGCTCCACCGTGCCGGGGGGAAAGACAGAGCCACGCTTCTGCTTTTCGAGCGCGTTTGTGACTTCTGTAGCATGTACGAGAGCATGATGCACCCGATATGAACTAGCTAGGTTACGGTAGTGCACCGCCTTTCCTGATGGCTTTCGCGGAACTACTGCTGTTGTTGCTGCATGCTCTCTCTTTCGATCGCGTTTCGGACCATTTTCTCCGGGCGTGTTTTTTTTTCCTGTCTGTCCATCGCGGGCGTAGCCTTCCTGCCGACGACACCTACCGACTACCTTGGCAACAACTCTTGCGGCCTGGACTCTCTCGTCAATTGTATCGCAGGCAGACATGGCTCCTCATATTGGCCACATCCTGGGACACGCCGCGGAGAAACATTCCGGTTGTACAGAAACAGGTCCCCGTTGTGCCGGTTGAAAAGCGCCGGTACAGACTTTAGTGCCGGTGTTTTCGGGAGGCACATACTGAACCGCCAAGTGTCATTCTCAATACTTTGACTTATTGTGCCGGTCCGGCATACACAGCAGTACCGGTGAATTCTGGGCACATATCGGCACCAAGGACCTCTACTCTGTAGCCAGGATAGCTCCGCCCGCACGGTGCATCCTGCACTTAATTTCTAGTACACACAAATAAATGTTGAACACCCTTGTGCTCGACGGGCGGCGGAGATGAAATTGACATACGAAGTGTGAGGCCGGACCCGACGCCGACGTTCTTGATTGAGGCCCCGTTGTGCGTCTGCTACTGCTGTGCCGTAGTAACTGCTGTGTTGGCAAGTACTCTCATTTTCTAGACCTTCTACAGCATGTCTCTTCTAGGTTCGCCCTGCCCGATCAATCCGTCAAACAACAGCAGTTGCAATTCCATCGTGTGGGTGCATGCGGTATTCACGGCCTTCTGTTTGGTCGAATGGTGCATACTGGCGAGCTCCTGGCAGATCGGCCGCCCCACGCCGCCTGAAAATGAACACAAGTCTCCGTTTCTTCACACAGAACTTCCCAAAAAACGACCGCAAAGGGGCGGAGAGACAACACCCCCCCCATGACCGATTTTCAAATCTCGATTACTCCGGCACCAAGCTTGTGCCAACAGCAAAAGTGGCGGTGGCTTTGGTGACATATCGTCGAGGGCTTTCCGTGGACATATCGGGCTTTTTCCACTCCCGTTGGTTGTGAAGCAATCGACCTTTCCAAGTCGGTCTATGAGGCGGGGCACCATCTCTTGTGTACGGTTATGCATGTATGCATACGACACACGGTACGTGTATGCATATGTAGGACGCCCTCTTCGTCACACGTCGCGCGCTTTGGATTGCCGCCATCCGCCGTGTTTACTTTACTCCAAATAACAAGAAGGCTATGCATACATAATTCCATGTGTCGTCGATGGGACGCGTGCCAGCAGCATTCACGGCATGTACTGCTGTTGAATTCATTTTGTTCCGATCTCCAAGAGACCTCTACAGATCCCCTTTCGAATGGGAGGAAACAACAACCCCAAAACCCACTCTCATGCTAGATCGATCACACTACACTGCTGCTGCTTGCTCGCTGGCGGGAACACGCAGACAGAACCCGAGCGCGAGTATGTATAATTTGATGGTTTCTGAAAGACTCGAGATTCGTGTGTGTGCCAAATTACTCCGCGCACCAGGGAATTGACTGGAGTTTTCGGAGAACTTGAGAGGCCCCTGGTCTGAGTGTATGTGGCTTCTCGGCACCACGTTTGTGAGGGGTTGTAGGGCAGGCGTTTCAGATCAAGAAAACCATCCCTACCAAGCTTCGGGGCTACGTGCGTCGCAGGCATCTGCTGTGCACTTGCGCATTGCGTGGTCTCTGGGGGGCATGGAAGTTCCTTGGCAAAAGGCATCTCTCTCGGTTTAAAAGGAATCACCGAGTAGCTAGTTATGCTTTGGTGGAGGGGAACGGTCAAGCGCCAACGGCACATGGATCGACGCTACCCCAGCGAGACGAGAGCTACTGCGATCACACGCCACCACCTTCACGCGTCATCGTCCACCCTGTGCTCACCATGTCTCCGCTGGTGCTGCCGACTCCAGATTGGGCCATAGCCACGCCCACCAACCCAGCCAACACGGCCGCCACGCGTACCCGCTTGTCCATCTTTACAGCACTGCTGTCTACCCTCCTTCCAGTGCTCCCCTCCCGGCTGCCTACGAGACCACGCTTAAGGAGGCTCTACGGGAGGCGGGGCGTGACGGCCGTGCGTGACGTATTGGCCCCAAGACAGAGACGGGTAACAGGGCAAGTATTTGTTTAAAAGTAGAACGTGAGGGGGGTGTCGTGCCGCCCACCGCACGCTGGACGCTGGAAGCACAGACCAAAAAAAAAAAAAAACGGACCAACTTGCAACTGTTCGGTTTCCCTACCCCCCAAGGTACAATACGATCGGCGCTGTTAGGAAGGCTTCCCCCATTAGTTCTAATGGGAGAAGCCTTCCTAGCAAAGGATTCACGCATGGGTTCGAATCCCAGATGTTCACTTTCACAAGCACCCTTAGTTCTTTTCCTGCAGCGCCTGGCGAGGGTCCGTCCCCGGAGTTCCTACTTCTAAATTCCCAGTGACCAACCGGGTGGCTACGAGCCGAGGGTGTATCTTTTGTTAGAAAGGCTTACCCCATTAGACTACACAGTAGCGGCGCTGCCGTATGTGCGCGCCACTGACGACCTGCAGTCAGCGCTGACTAGTCTAATGGTGTAACTTTACCTTACAAAACAGGCGCAGACGACCACGCCAACCGGAGGCAGCAGCACAGCAAGTAGGTCACTCCAATAGCTTTACCACGGGAACCCAGATATATCCTTTTCCCTCAAACGAAAGCGATCCAAAGGGTAGGAATGCGCAAACTTCGGCGACCACTGCGACCGACGCGCCGACGCCCGACGCCCTCGAATCAATTCCCGCCGCTGTTTATCGGTGCGGCGCAACCTCGCCCTCCACGGGCTTGCACCTTGCACCTTGCACCCGCACGGCTCGAGTCTTGAATCTCGAAATGGATCAACACTAGCATGCATTCGAGCACGCGGGTCCACCGCCTTAATAAATGGACACGAAAATTGACCCACGAGTCGCACTGCTGTATGTGTGGCCAAGATTTACCGTTGGATAGTACGATGAGACATGATGATGTAGAAGGGAAGGACTGGTTACTACTGCAAAGGAGAAGACGTGCACACACACGCACGCGTATCCATCCGTATCATCGTATCTTCGTGCATGCTGGCTGCTGGCCTTCCAGGAGATGCCGAAGAATTAATGGGTGCCTGAGTTTGTGGTTGTATAAGGCGTTTTGTATTTAATGCGTTGGGACACGACACGCAACCCTGGCCGTCCGTGCTTTTTGCGAACCGACCGGCGTCATCAGCGAGTCTATGCTAACAATTTGTAGCTTCCGGAAAAGGCCACCGCGTGTAGTATGTACTGCATCAGATCATCACCGTCGACCGTCGTTGATGCACATAAGTAATGCGCGTGCTGCTGTAAAGAGAAGCAGCAAGTACGTTTTCCGATCCGACCGGCGTCACGAAGGCCGACACACGGTCGCCCCGGTGGTCTAGTGGGTAACCTCGTAGCCTGCTAAGGGCCAGGTCATGGGTTCGAGTCCCGGCAGAGAGTTTTTTTCTCACTAAATGAATTCTGGTCTAGGATGAAAGCGACGCGCTGCAAAGCTCGTTTGTTAGTAAACCATAATCGACCTCATAAGTCGCGAGGGAAGGGATTGCTGTACCCTTCTCGCGATAAAAATACCTCAGGCATGAACCGCAGGAGGGGGTCCAACCCCCCCCTCCTATGTGACCCCGGTTGGGTCGTCTAGCTAGTAGAAGTGGAGGATAGGGGCCAGAGGGGCAGACGACAGAGTCCAATGATGGGAGAAAAACAAACAAAAACTAGACTACATTTACACACAGCATCATCTCCACGTTAAGTCTGTAAGAAAGATGTCCAACAGGAGCCCCCCGGTGTCGTGTTGTAGTAGAGTGTACGGTAGTGCTGTAGTGTAGTGAATAAACATGGGCAGTACTACCACCGACCCTCTTAGGCTTTGATGATGTGCTTTCTCCAAGGGCTACAGCAGAACCCTGCAGCACCACTTTTTTGCGCTGGGAATAGCCCTGGTCTAGTCTAGTCTTGTAGGCCAACACCTATCTATCTGCCTTGGCCTAGACTACACCGCAAAAGAAGGGCCACAGTTGTGTAGAGTTGAACTATATGCAATTAGGTTTGTTCCTCCTCCAGTCAGCGCAGAAGCACAGTGAGTGCAACAGCAACAACAACCTGACGTTCTAAGGTAACTCACGCACATAGCTGCGGAATACGGAACAAGGTTGAAATTGATAAACAATAATTAATGTATTCGACGAAGCTCGCGGGCAACATCATCCGCGAAGATACCACGAATGAAACGTCACATAATACGATGCCCCCCCCCTCCTTCCGCCACTGCTGCCGCGGATACCCGTCTCCTTCTCCGACCCGAGGCCTGGACGAAGCACTCTCTGCGAACAGGAGCCGGCCCATTTGCACTTGGGCCTCCTCTCTAGCGCGACACAAGCAGCAGCACACGCCCTTGGTTGTCGTATATGCTCGAACGCGAGACCAACGCTGTTTGGCCAAGAACGATACGCAAACAAACGCTCGCCGTGAAAAACAAGAAACATTGTTTTCGCCACCAGTGAGTTATACGGGGTGTGAGTGAACTGGGAGTACCACCTGAGTCGGGTTAGTATCATCGTGAGACAGACGACGTGCTTTTGGTACACAAATTGACGTCTTGTTCTATTGCGCCAACAACACCGTTCCCAATGACCCCCACAAGACGAAGAGCAAAAACCGAAAGGAAGGTCACGACATTCGCCTCAAGAGGCGGCACCCATGCTCTCTCAGGTCCAGGAATTGTTAACCAGCGCTGTCCATGTTGTTATGTCTCCGGACGCCCATTCTCGGCCCTCCACCACTCACTTCACATGTTCCGATAATCCATCACCGTGACGACAAGGAGTCCACTTGCACGCTCACTTACTTTCGGTCGGAAACTGGTCTGAACAAACGGTTCTTCTTTATTGACTGCGGATCCCAAGACGATCCAAATCTGTCCAAATACTCCGTGATAACTTACTACCGAGCTGACGATAAAACGAGAAAAAAACATCGCTGGTGGCAGTGGCTGCATCTATCTGTAGCCGCCAATATTTATGGCGTTTTCCTTCGGACAAAATGCCACACTTTTGGGTCAACAGAAAACACCCCAGAACCAACCCCCTCAAACGACCCAATTTCAAGTTGGCAACACTTCCCTGGTAACGGCTTTGAGCGCGTAGCTGCAGCGTATCGTGATTGTTACGTACCCAGATTTGGGTCCAGCTTCACTTTCAGGCCGCAGCGGTAGCCTTCGGCAGCACGGCCCCAGCAGTAGACCTGGACATACATGTCGCTGCCCCACGTTCTCTACTGATCTCCCATCGAACATGAACTTTTTCTGGGCCGGAAGGTCATTTCCGTATATTTTTTGTCTTGGATCAATGGTCTAGATAGTACCTGAAAAACAGGGTTGTCATCACCCCCCCCCTCTAACAGAACACGGAGTATCTCACAGATCGATTGCCAGAAATGACGAAATGATTGAGGAACCCTCGGAACCATGACGATTTCGAGATGAATGGGTTTCCGATGCCTTCTCTTTCGAAATCCTACCCTACCGTTGGGTCTTTGTGGAGCACCTAAGAAGGCTTCCAGATCTTATACTTTCACAATGTCTCCCTCCCTCATTCGTTCGTCGTGTTTTGTACGTTGGTGACTCGCAAGCACGCCCCACCGGCAATATGGCGCGCGCAACCCGGGGAAATGATCTAACTAAGCAAAAAATTGTCAGCGTTCTCAACAGCGGCAACACACATCAGAAGAAGCTCCCCTTGGGAACATGGCGACCCTGGAGACAAGCGTTTTAACGCTACAACGAACTTTCAATCGGAACAACCAACTCAACCCCACCCAACGCAAGCTCACCCTTGCGCAGGGAAGATTTTGGAAAAAATGTCTTGCATCGGCAAAGAGGCAGCGATGACACCCGTGGCCTCAGCCCAGGTGCAGGGTTGGGTAGGCGGGGGGGTCGACCTTGTATGGGCGCCCTTCATCGCTTCGTCGTGGACTAGAGTAATCGTACAAGGTCGGTATCTACTTGGGAGATAATCGGCATGAAAGGTACCTTGCCCTAGGCCTAGAACCTCGGAACGTATGCGCAGCGACCTTGGGCAAAGGTATGGGCACGCTATCACCAGGGGCCACAGGTATGGCAACGCCGCACCTTTACCACCACTGGGGGGAGGTGGCGACCTTGGGGCAAGGGTGCGGTACGCACCATTGCCGTTTAGGCCAACACCTCTCTACGAGGGTCTCGAGAAGAAACTTTGCTCAATAGTTGTTTCACGTTGGTGTCTAGGTTGTGTCGCAGGTCTTCCTGCCGCCAAAGGACGAACCACACCACCCATCAGCCCCTGAAACTGTCCATCGTACGTACAACCACGCAAAGAACGAAACGCATGCGTCTCACCCCCCCTACGTAAAGCGAAGAGAGTACAGGCGGCCTGTGTATCCTTCAAAGCCTTGAACCACTAAAATGACCTCAGACACATGGGCTTGAAACCACCCTAATTGTCATAGGCTCCCACACACAGGGGCACCATCACACTGCGCAACAATCGAAAAAAAAACAGCAACGACAATGTCTGACAGACAGGGCACAAGTAGACGTCCTTCCATCATGATCCTCGGTATCGCCAAGAAAGGAAGGCCGCCAATATAATCATCACCTGCGTCAAATTTTCGCCTAAAAGTACGAACACCTGACTTGAGAGGACGCGGACGCAACAAACATCCAACCAAAACGTAATAAAATATCGGGTGTTTGTGCGACGGTGTTTGGTACATCGCACCTCTGGGCTAGGCGATGTACTCGCTAATTCACCAAGGATTAAAAAGCGTAGCAGTACCATTAGGTGGGGCGGCCTTGCTTTGCCCTTCGCATGCACGCACAACCTCAGAAAACGCAGGAAACCCATAATTGCCGGTTTTCAAGCACAACCACACCGGCACAAGAAATCAGCACGCAAGCCACTCCTTCCATCGCGAGTCTTCGTACGACATTCAAGTAAAACACGGAAAGGAAAATCGGGGAGGCACTCAACCTTTGTACTCCCTACGCTACAGCCCACTTGGTTGCCCCTTGGTTCATCCGAGATCAAAACGCTTAGCACAGGACGGAAAACCCGA